TAGGAAGGGCAGCTCTGCCAAGTAAATATGCTGACAGTTTAGAAAAATTAGGTGGATTTGTACAAATAAGTCGAGTGCTAGAAGACCACATCAACTTCCAGCTACATGTGCTTGTACCTGGAAGAAAGCAGCTGCCATAGTCCCTCAGACATTCCTGAGGGGAGAAGAGAAGCTCTGCCTAAGGCACTGGTGGGGAATTGGCCTTAAGTCTACAAAGGCCCACCCGCTCTGCTGCAGCTCTGCACAAAACAAACTATTAGAATAACCTAAAGATACTCTCTCCTCACTGGATATTATTCATGAGATTCAATGAACACTCCAGAGAAAGCCAAAACCAAACAAAAAGTAAAATAACTTCTTTGATAAGGCCATTTGTTTCTTATTTGGGATTAAGCACCTAATATCAAATTATAAAAGGTTAAAAAAAAACACCTGGGTTTCTTTTTCTTTTCTTCTTCTTCACACATGCAACACCCAGGATGGCTGCCTGTAGTCTACTTTCTCTACCCCCACTGGCAGAGGGAAAAATTCTTAAAAGCAAAGACAGAATATAGCAGAAAGTCTAAAACACATGTCTAGGGGTTGATAGATCACTTTAGAGGTCTGCTTATCAGATCACCTGTGTCCCTAAGAATGGGCAGATATTAACTCTATTTAAAGATAATTATGCCAAAGAAATCTATCATCCATACCTATATTTTACAGAAGGAGAATAAAAAAAATTACTCTTACCAATGAGGCTATATCCTACTCTTGAGACATCATACACAAGTTGGGGGTTTACAGTTGTTTGTATGGAAAATAATGCCATAATTAGTAATATAAGAATAAACTGTTTTGTATACTCACAGCTGTAAACTTTTGCCCCACCCTGTATATTTATAGATAAGAAAAAACTAAAACTTTCAACATGTGTTATACCTATGTACAAATATAAAATGGTAGATAGGATAACTTTTTAAGTTTAAAGCAAAACAATTTCTCTGTTACAAAGTTAGAGATACTGAGCAACTACCTGCTGCTCATAGAAAGCTAAGACACCGTGCTGGAACAATGTTAGTTGCCTACTACCTTAAAAAGACTAAGGGCCACTTAAAACTGAGCCTATCACAGGTTATCATAGCATTCACAATAATAAATCTTCATGCCCTTGGTACCTTCTTAAAGAGAGGAAGGACAGAAGAAACAGGAAAAGAAGAGGTAAATACAACCTTTAGGTTAATGAGAGACTTGGTCTATTAGGCAAAATCCTATGTTTTTAAATCCAGGAGAGAGGAAGAGATCCTTGTCTCTTAAGTAGGTTAGTCTTGGTAAAAGGAACATTTATTCTTGCCTTGTTTTATCTACCACAATGGAATTTCTGTGAAAGCACTCGGTATCTAAGATACACTTATCTTAGTATTTCCATTATCATCTATGTATAAAATTATAAACACAACCTAAAATTTATAACAAAAGCTTAGCATGATGGTCTTGGATTTTCAATGGTCTTTGGATTCACAATTTACATTTCAGGTGAGAAGAGGTTATTTTTCATAAGGCCATTTGTTTCTTTTTAGAAATATTCTGGAAAACTCTCTCCTAATGGTTTAACAATACATTTTTGCTGAGAGCACTGCAGGTTAATATTAATGTCCTTGGTTCCACAGAATATAACTCATGGCACAAATTAAGCTTTAAAACTATTAAATTATAATTTAATTTTGAGTCTTACTAATGAAACATGAACATCTACGATGATGCTAAGAAATAATTCATTACTTTTATTAGCTATATGAAGAAAAGCAGAGCTAATTTCTTTACATGTACATTTTTGAAATGGGAAAGCTCTGTGGGTATTAGCACTTAGATCAATTCTATTTTATTCTAAAGTGAAAAAAACACAGGTATAAATTATATCAATAGTAGTCTAAAGTTATATCATAAATGAGAGGATAAGAAAATCTAAATGTAAAAGCACAAAGACACAGGGCACTTCAGAAAAAATATACAAGAGGATTCAGGAATTACCCTGGTCTCTCTCAGGAGTGTTGTAAATTGTATTTCTTTTTCACAGTTTACTAAACTAAAGGGCACAAGGGGAGAGGGAGGGAGGGAGGGGGAGAGAGAGAGAGAGAGAGAGAGAGACAGACAGACAGACAGACAGACAAAGAGATGACTCATGGGAAATCTGACAATACACATTTTACCTAAACATGCATTACGAAAGTCCAAGGGGGAATAGGCAAAAAATATCCCCCCCAAAAAATGCTAGAAATAAAAACAAGTCCTATCTGGCTTAGATAATTCAAAAGTGATAAACTGCTATTTAAAGTTCCTGAAAACGAAAGCAAACAACATTTGTCTGATAAAAGAAATCTATTTCATTTAAAGGAAACTAACCTTTGTATGAACTATGGAAAAATTATTAGTATTTTTTAGAAATCTATACTGTCAGCCAATACTCTCCATACTAGTTTCTAGGTAACCTCCATTTGTAAGCTCTTGCTCTCCAGGAAATGATATGGAATAGAGTCAACTCACAGAAGACTGTCTCCATGTTTTGGCTCAGGGATAGAGACAATCCAACTCTATACAGTATTTCAAATAGGCTAGTCAAAGGTTACTGCAATTCTCTAAAAACAAGCAAATGATCTTTGATGGGTCAATTAGGAAAAGGCAAAATAAAATTGAGCCTCTCACAGGTTATCATGACATTCACAATAAATTTTGTGGAGGGGATGGGATGAGTGCCCATGACATTCACAATAAATTTTACGAGGGGATGGGATGAGCTCCTTAGCCCAAGGAGTGAAGGACTGTTTCACCATGAGCTTAGAAGACAGGACCACATCACTGTAAATTTAACTGCACATAACATTTTTCTGCCCATGTCAATTAAGATTGCTTTTGCTTGTAACTTCTATTTTCAAAGCAAAGTTAAGACTACTAGTAAAACCTAAGTGAGGAAGGAGTTCAAACACTTAAATAAAAGATTTGTGCTGTCAGATGAAATTTTGAAGGAACTGTTCTTGAGACATTAAGGACAAAGAAAAAAAAATTAAGAGGAACGATAAAAGTACCGCAAGATCCTGGCAAAGTTAACTTTAAATCTGGCTCTGATCCCATGGCAAATGAGGGTGTTTGCACAAATCCTGACTCATCCCCAATTCAAAAATAAAGTGAGGGACATTTTGCCAAAAAAGAACACCAAGAAAGTTGTTTCTAAAAAGCATGGGGTGGGGGGAGATACTGCAATTATTGGTTGTTGTTTTTTTTGTTTTGTTGTTTTTATATATATAAGTAGCATCATTCTTGCCTCTTGTGGGCTTGTTATGGACCCTCCAAAAATCTATCCATGCAAATTTTATTTTCCAAAGCATTATATTATATAATAAAATGCTGTATTTTCAGGAAATAATCCAATAGTGAACACAATGGACCATAACAATTGTAATGAAATAAAAGTTCTCTAAAATTCACAAAACTTTAATTTTATAGTTAAATTATGATCCAGAAATATTTTCCACAACTGGAACTTGGAATGGTCATCTTGTTACTACTTGTAACCTTAACATTGGAACTGGACTTTATTTTCACTGCCAGCTGCCTTTTTCCAGTTCAATACTACCAAGTGGGAGAAGACTGTTCCCACCTCTCTCTGCCATACACTCAGTCCTCCTAGCTGGTTCCCACTCTTGGAACAACCTTTGGGCAGCTGCTGGAAGGGTACATGCTGCCCTGGCCACCACTCAAAAGCCATCATGTGGGAAGCCTGCCTCTCCTTGGGCAGGAATGCCTAACTTCAGGAATTCTGGGAATTTCCTGCCTTAGCAGTTCCCTTCCTTGTGTAGGCAGAAAGCAAACAAATAGCAAGATAACATTCTTCCCTATAATCAAAAGCAGATAAGAATCATCTAAGTCACTCAAAATAATGCAATAATTTGAAACTATCTCTGGCTTAAACGTTTAAAAGTTCATATCACATTAATAGATTTTAGATGGTGTGTTAGCCTACAATGGTCATATATCTCACATACATAGTGCACATGTAAGGGGCAAGGGAGTATCTGAGCCTGCTAGGCATCCCTGATGGACAGTGGCAGGTCACCTTTCTCAAGTGCTCCCACAAGACCTGTCCCCAGCCTCAGGCCACAACATTTTCTCACTTACTGTGCACACTCCAGGCCTAGTAAACTTGCTCAAATGTATGGTGTTCCTCCTCACCTCATTATCTTCAAATAAGCCATTTTCTCTTCCAGAATGCCCTTCCTTCTTCCCGCTTTGCCTGGCTACTGCCCTTTCCCACCTCAGTGAAAAGTTAAAAGCCAACTTCATGGAGATCTATTTCTCTGAGCAGATCTCATCCCTCAGTTCCAAAATCACATCAGAAGCTTTACTTCCTCATATATTTGTTACAAGTGTGGTTAACAATCATTTTTTAATTATTTTTAAGTGCAGGTTCTTCTCCTACATGTTTCAAGAAGGCAGGCAAAAAGTTTCTGACTTCTTTTGCTGTATTTTCAGTATATGGGCCAGAGGCTGGCACTCAACAAATATTAAAATAATAAATCTAATCTGATAAAACGTCATGTAATTCTTTTTTTAACCCTTTCGACACACTTAAAGATTCTTATTATGATTCACATTTTACAGATGAGGAAAATTAAGACTCAGAGAAGAGAAACTTAGTTGAGTTCACACAGCTAGCAGGAAATAGCAGAACCCAGACTTACACAAAGAACGTTCTGACTCTGAAGTTGGAACTCCAAGATATTTTGCTCATCAAATTAGTGCACCACCCACAAAGAGCAATCTAGCAACTCTGTGTCCTCAACAGAGATGCATGATGAGAAGAGTAAGATCAAAACTGAGGTCCACTCACAACACAGAACTGATTTATTACATGGATTCCCTGCTTGGGAACCCGAATAGCTTACAATGATTCTGCACATGGAACCAACAGTTTAAGTGCCTTCTTGAGTATAAATAAAAGAGATGGAATGTAAAGAGACACTTACCATAATTCCAGTAAGCAAACAGACTCCTTTCCCACAGTATGTGTTAGGTACCATGTCACCATAACCAATGGAGAGAAAAGTTATTGATATCAACCACATTGCTCCAAGGAAGTTGCTAGTAACATCCTGTTGATCATGGTACCTGAAAAATAGCAAACAAAGCCAGGCCTTTATAATTTATCTACATTGTGGTTGCTAAGGCCAGTTTGATTCAATTCAATTAATTCACTAAGTATCTTCTATAAGCTGCTCTAGTTAGAGGTTTTCAAAGCTCTCGATTATAAATAAATTTGAGGTTCCATCTATGCATCTGAAGGACATCAGGATTTCCGCAACTTTAAAAATAATCTGAAAGAGAAACTGTTAAATATAAAAAACTATTTTCCCACTGGTGTAAGTTGATAAACGCATATTTATCCTTGAGCCTGCCCTGGCCTATGGTAATGTCTCAGCATTCCTTGAGGCTCACTGGTGTGTTTGACTTATAGGTCAATATACAGCTGCCCAATCTCAATTCACGCCTTTGTAACAGAAGGAGTCATGCTGTTCCCTTTGCTTATGGTGTCCTTTGCAAACTTAATTTCCCTAGTTGGCCTTCTCTTAGTCATTTTTCAGTAGACATTGAAGTGGGATCCTTTCTATCTGCTCTTGTCCCAGCTCCCTCCTGTGTATTTCTCCCTCAGTACCCTGTGCGTTTCTCCCTCAGTACCCTGTGCGTTTCTCCCTCAGTACCCTGTGCGTTTCTCCCTCAGTACCCTGTGCGTTTCTCCCTCAGTACCCTGTGCGTTTCTCCCTCAGTACCCTGTGCGTTTCTCCCTCCCCTCAGTACCCTGTGCGTTTCTCCCTCCCCTCAGTACCCTGTGCGTTTCTCCCTCCCCTCAGTACCCTGTGCGTTTCTCCCTCCCCTCAGTACCCTGTGCGTTTCTCCCTCCCCTCAGTACCCTGTGCGTTTCTCCCTCCCCTCAGTACCCTGTGCGTTTCTCCCTCAGTACCCTGTGCGTTTCTCCCTCAGTACCCTGTGCGTTTCTCCCTCAGTACCCTGTGCGTTTCTCCCTCAGTACCCTGTGCGTTTCTCCCTCTGTACCCTGTGTGTTTCTCCCTCTGTACCCTGTGCGTTTCTCCCTCAGTACCCTGTGTATTTCTCCCTCGGTACCCTGTGTATTTCTGTATTTCTCCCTCAGTACCCTGTGTATTTCTCCCCCAGTACCCTGTGTATTTCTCCCCCAGTACCTTGTGTGTTTCTCCCTCAGTTACGATGTGAATTTCTCCCTCAGTTATGATGTGTATTTCTCCTTTAGAACCTGTGTATTTCTCCCTCTGTACCCTGTGTATTTCTGTATTTCTCCCTCAGTATCCTGTGTATTTCTCCACCATAGGACTATGCTGAACTATTGACCTGGAGCTTCTGTACTCACTGTACAAAAACTGTACCTTTGAATACACAGTCCCTGCCAAGAACCAGAGCTTAATAAAAGCTGTTGCCTCAATAGTCGCACACACAGAGTTACAGTGAGGGAAGGGATACAGTTTATCCTGACTATTCTATAAAGCAGTGTTCTCAACCTTTCTAATGCCATGACCCCCTAAGAAATAGCATTTCAAGCTATTCTGGTCTAGGGAAGAGAAAACCTGTCCAGAGTGGTAGATTTCCAGAATAAGTAAGAGAGAAAGCAATCATTGTATCTTCTGAAAGAAAAACCGACCCTGCTGATGAGCACTCTTAGAGTTTCTGGTTGCAGAAGGACAGAGTGTTCCACCATTCCACCTCCAGGGACTGCCATCATGTCCTAGCTGTGGACTCCCCTCCTAGAATGGCTCGGTAGAGAGACTTTCATTGCCAACAGAGTGGCCAAGAGGTATTCCTAGCTTTCTAGGAAGACAAGTAAGTGCATTTCCCCTGTTCAATAACATGTACATATGAGTAGGGTAATGGGGTCCATGCTATCCTTCAGCTACAATATGAGCTCACAGGCTATGGGAGTCTGCCAGGCCTGTGCAATGGGGTTTCCATGGCAGAATGTGATTTTCATTTCAAACAAGAACCTTAGATGTAAGCTTTGGATTCTAACCCATTCATGACCTTGAGGCTCTGTCTAGAGAGAGTATTCCTCATTAAGCAGTTGCCTGAAACAGGGAATGCACTTCCCTGGTATGGGTGTGGGCAATACAAAAGAAGGGAGGGAGGCAAAATAGTTCATACCCTATTACAGTGATTTTCAACCTTTTTCGCCTCATGGCACGCATGAACTAAAATTCTGCCATACACTCATTCATTCATACTAAATGGGTATTGAATGTGTTGGCTGTTGTCATTTTTATTTTTATTTTTTGACAATCTACGGGAAAAGAGATCAGTGCCACTGACTAATCAGGTATTATACATGGGTTGAAAATCACTGACTATTCAGTATTTAATTTTGAGACAGTTTTTTCTTAACAAAGTGTGATTTACATAAAGATCTGATGCATTTAAGAGTTGGTGGCCTTAATTCCCTGGTGCATATAAAATATTTGTTGAGTGCTTACTATGTGTTCAGTTCTTGACTTGCATTCATTTTCATTTTACATTAATGTTTGAAGACATGGAAAATCTGAAACATGGCTGAAAAAGTTATAGTCTTCCACCCTTTCTATTTCTTAAAAAAAAAAAAAAAAATATATATATATATATATATATATATATATATATATATATATATATTGATTTTTTACAGAGAGGAAGAGAGAGGGATAGAGAGATAGAAACATTGGTAAGAGAGAATCAATCAGCTGCCTCTTGCACACCCCCTACTGGGGATATGCCAGCAACTAAGATACATGCCCTTGACCAGAATCGAACCTGGGACCTTTCAGTCTGCAGGCTGATGCTCTATCCACTGAGCCAAACTGGTTTTGGCCACCCTTTCTATTTCAACAGTGTCCTCAATCACTAGACAGAAAACATGACCATGTCTGAATGAAATCTTTAAGTTATTTCTACTCCTGAGTGACTAAAACAAATCTGCTGGGCTCAAGGTTGCCCTTTGGTAGAGCAACTACAAAGAGGAATACAAGATCTCATACATAAACACAGGCCAGTGCGGACACCTTCACAGCGGGGACCCACAAGGAGATCTCAGGTTTGGAACAGGTTTGGGAATCTGTTCTTCCTGTAGCACTTCTCATTTTCAAAGTTGAAAGTAGTAAGTGACTTTAAAAAAATAAAAGCATTCATTAAACATTTAGGGAAACAGACTCCTCTTTGGTTGCTCACCTTTAATTAATGCAGAGTTTTAAATACACAAATTTCTTCCATCCTCATTTGACTCTGTCAAACACTGTCAAGTATTGTGCCATAATTATCATTTAGTCAATATTTATTATATGCTATACACACTAGACTGGGTCAGAGATTGTAATCCCATATTGAAGAGCTTAATTAGAAGAAAATATCTTTTTAGGAGTTGGTATTTTAGAATTTGGGACCCAGTGGTAAATTATTTCTCTCTTCTCTCTGCTTATAAAATAGTAAATCTGCCTGAAAAATTGATCAGAATGGAAAAATAATATCTTATGCTAACGTTGGTGTTATATTCAGACACACTCAGTTGAGAATAGTCAAGAAGAGGAAGGTAACTAGGGACCATATTAGATACTATTAGAATAATCAAGATTTCTTTCTTGGCAACTCGGGCATAAATATTAGATTTAACAACATGATATCATGTATATTATACAGAAAATCCTTACACATAATTATAACATGAGATTATCATTTAGAACACTGCCAGGCTTTGAATTTATGTCAGATTCACACCACTGCAAATGATAAATGTGTACAACATCAATGGTTAAAACATTTCTTCTAGAATTTCATGTCACACGCTTATTCAGACGATTCCAATCCTCTCCACAAGGAGAACTGTTCTGGGAAAGACAAAGAAATGACTCAAATGGCAAATTTCCAATTCTGATCAATATGAGTGCTGGTTTAATGTTATTAAAAATACATTAAATAAATCCTATCTGGGTAGCTCAGTTGGGTACAGCATCATCTTGATGCACCAAGGTTGAGGGTTTAATCCCTGTTCAGGGCACATACAAGAATCAACCATGAATAGGTAAATAAATGAAACAACAATTCAATGTTTTTCTTTCTCTCCCTTCCTCTCCCTCTAAAAGCAATAAATAAAATATAGCAAAAATTACATGAAATAAGATTAAACTTAGTGCAAAAAATGCCTGCTAACCTCAAGATTTTAAAATAAGGATTTTAGGGTTTGAGGAGAAGACTTGGTGAACTGTTTTAAAGCACTGCATGACTCATAGACTTCAAGTATGTGAGATCAGCTTTAAGGATTTAAAAGAAACACAATGTTCCTTTTCTTAGTTTCCATTCATTTCTTCACTCATTGCTGACTGTGCGTCTACCACGGTCCCTTTTCTTAGATCATAAATATGACAGATTTCTATAATATTTGTTTAAATTTACAGAGATTATCTTCCCTCTGAATGAGGCAGTCTCCGCCCAGCACTCCTGCACCAGCCTCAGCACCTTTCATAAGTAACAGGACTTTTGGCTACACTTATGGCTGGCAATGACGTCATCCTCTTTCATGGCTCTCTCTGCAGGTGCACTTCTTCCTGGAACCACCGTCTCTCATCTTCCTAGCCCTAATTTGTACTTTAAGAATCTGCTCGTGGATACCCTTCTCCAAACTTTACCTAGCTTCTGGTCAGCATGACCACTAGTTCCCTCTTTATATGCCAGGAGCTTCTTGTAGATATCCCTACCACCACCAGTCAATGCTCACTTGGGTCATAAGACAAGCAACATATAATTGGCTTATCTAGAATACCCCTAGATTCTAAACTACAAAAAAATTGAGGACAAAGACTGTGCCTCTTTCATTGCTATATCTTCACACAGTGCATAGAAGAATATAACAGGTTATTGGTGGTTTTTTTCATTAATAAGTGTGACAATGTAAGACTTTTTTTTTCTCAAACTGACTTGCCCTTAGCCACATGCTAGGCCTAGAATATCACATATAGAGATACAAAATGTGGATGGAAAAGAGTCTTGCCCATTGTTTGACATGAATTGAACTTGTCATGTTATACTCCAAGATCTGTATGCAACATATATGGTATTTTTACACT